CTTCATTTCATTTATGCTCCTCATATGTTTCATTTTTCTAATTATTTTTTTATGGTGTTAATATTTTTTTATTTAATCGAAATGTTTCTATAAGTAAATAAGTGGAAGAACGAGGACAAACGGCGAAAAATGATAAACAGCTGCTAGCGCGAGGCTTAGCTGCTCGCGCTAGCCGCGTACGCTATAGCTATGTCGAAAGAAAGAGACAGTAAACATATATCTCTGTTCTCTTCTACCGCCCGAAGACGGCCGAAGCGTCGAGCGCTCACGTACACGGCTGCTCGCCTGTGTGTGTATCCCCCCCACTTGCTGCAGCGTGCTGTAAGAAAGTCAAAACTGGGCACACTGCATACCACTCGAAAATCTTACTTCGACTTACACATTTATCACCATATGCGATTCGCAACATTTTAAGTATTTTCGAAGCGGATTTCTTCAATTTAAAAATTTAATTGCAGCACGTTGCTCTATCGTAAAGATCGTGACACGCGTAATCGAAACACACACTTTTCCGACACTTCGCACTTGCTATTGAATCGAGATAGAGCTTTGAAATTTTTACAGTAGCTAAAGGAAGAGTGAAAAAAAAGTTCCGCAATGGAAACAGATAGCGCCACTTTTCGATTGTATACAACATCAGTCCCGGAACTTTTTGAATGCATTGTGTACATTATAAAAACACATTAACAAAAATATTCAACGAAATATATATAGGGTCTTACGAGCCGATCGCAGGATGTTTGTACGGAAGAATATGCATGTATATACATATATGAATAGGCATACGTGTTCACAACTAAAGTTTTTACAAGTGAATTATTTGACTTGATATTTCAATTCTTTAAATCATATAGGATGCTAGATTTGTATCTCGTATATAAAGGATCCCGAATACCCTCCCAAACTAATTTAAAATATTGCAAAAAAAACTTCTCAGCTAGGAGTCGAACCTGGAATCTCCGGCATTCCGGGCCGTCGCCTTCCCTGTTAGGCCACCGAGGCACTTGGAGTTTGTCTCGCAATACTTATACATCTATCGAGGATGGTCCGATAGCGTGATAACGCTCATTATTTCAACCAGCGTGAATTAAACAATTAAATTTTAAGGCTCTCGATAAATTGGCTCGTAAGACTCTATATATATTTTGTTGAAAATTTCATAGAGCCTTAAAATTTAATTGTTTCATTCACGCTGGTTGAAATGATGAGCGTTATTACACTATCAGACCATCCTCGATAGATATATAAGTATTGCGAGACAAACTCCAAGTGCCTAGGTGGCCTAACAAGGAAGGTGACGGCCCGGAATGCCGAAAAAAAAAGTTTCTTTACGGGAAATCTCATAAAAGAAGGAGCCATTGAAATGGCAAAAGCTTTTAATCTTTATGAAACTGCACAATACTTTGATACCGTATGTTTATCATCACAAACGTTTTTCACGAATTACTGACATTGGTAAGTATCTCGAGAATAAAGTAAAAAACTTATTAGCTACATGTAAATACTATTCTCTTTGCTTATATATATACAGGGTGAGTCATCTGAATCTATCACCTCCAATAACTCGTTTGTGTGGCCAGGAATCAAAAAAAGTTTCATATAAAAGTTGTAGGGTTTCGAGGGGGAACCAAAATGGCGTACCTTTCAACTTTTGATTTTGACCGAAAGTGGGTTACTTCAACCGGAAGTGGTTTCTTTAAAATGGAAACCCCCCTTTTTGACACCGGAAAATGAAAAAGCGGAAAATTTTACGTTCAAATGTAATCTTGACTGTTTTAAAATTTTCAAGATGGCGAACGAAGATGGCGGACAAAAATTTTAGTCAACCGATTTGCACCAAATTAAGTTTACGAGGGTTTTTGGGGTTGCTGATCACGAATCTGAAGTCAGATTTACAAAATTTAAAATGGCGGATCCAAGATGGCGGACGAAATTTTTAGCCAAAAGTAATAGAAATTACTACTCTTAGCACTACCCAGGAACAACGGCGTGGACGTGGTAGTTTTTTGTTCCTTTTGGGGTGCTTTATTTACGTGAGTCCCCTTGCCTCTCACTATCGGGGTGCTTTATTTACGTGAGTCCCCTTGCCTCTCACTATCGAGGTGTTTTATTTACGTGAGTCCCCTTGCCTCTCACTATCGGGGTGCTTTATTTA